CTGTGTGCAATATTAAGCAAGCTAGATAAAAAATAACAAAATTTACGTTACTGTTCCTTCCTTGGCTATGCGTTACATACATAACAATGACACTAATCAAACCAGTTAACAAACAAAAATAAATGCTGCATTATCAGCAGCTGCATCTGTTCCAAAAGAAATCTGAAACTGAAAATTGGACAGAATTACACTGTGTCAATTAGTGAAATAAGGGCACACTACATGCCTGGTTTATTTATTTATGTTATTTATAATTGCTAGCTGCGGCTAATGGTGGTATCGATACTTTTGAAAATGATTTTTGTATCCGGATACAACGTTTTAATAACGATACTTTTTTGAGTATCGATACTTTTGACAAACCTCCTGTGTGCAAAATCACAATATTATGATTCCTGCACCATCGTTCTTCACCCTGTTCTATGAAAGTAAACCCATTACCACGTAGAAGTTAGATATTAACCAAAAGAAAACCTTTTTTTTTTCAAAGGTTTGATCAACTCTCTCTATGGTTGTGTTGATAACGTTGTTTCTTCTGAGGAATGAACAACAAATTATTGTCAAAAAAGTTTATAATCTGATAAAGAATAATCATAAGAAAGTCTGTTGGTGGAGTAGAACTTAACGTATCTTTACATATGTAATATAAAAGACACGTTGTTTAACTAAAATCATAGAAAATAATGAGGACTGCTTTGGGTTTACTGCACATTCACACTGTATAAAGCTGCAGCATGAAATAACTTATAAAACGCAATCAACTGTGCAAACAGCAAAGTAATAAATCAAAAATTTAAATGAAGGTCAAAGGTTAAGTTTGGAATTATCAAAATGATAAAGAAAAGTCCTTCAGAAAAGTCAATAAAATGTTTCCACTAAATTATTAATCTGTATATTAGACCTACCTGAATCTGATTAGAGAGGTCAGAGTTCTAAATGCACCAAAACTAAAGTCTGTTCCTACATCCATACTTGCAGCCATTCTGTGAAGCACCTCAGAAGTTTGCTGAAGACCATTAGAGCTCAAACAGCATCATGGAGATTGATGCACACAGCAGACAGATCAGGTCCATGGAAAAGAGCTCAAAGCAGAGCTAGCTTACATTAACTATGAATAAAGCAATGCATAAACCTGACCTTTATGGAAAAAGTACAAGAAAGAGGTTACTGATGAGAGGACATAAATATCCTGTTTTCTGTTCACAATCAGCCTTGGAGGGGACAAAGATAAAGCATGGATGCAGGTGTTGGGCTCAGGTGAAGTCCAGTTTACACAGTGTCTTAGACTTAAGCTTAGACAACTTCTATTGTCGAAATTTTATTGAAATTTTGTTTAGTACTTTTCAGACAGCAGATGAACATTTCTAATTCAATAAATTGCAGCAGTGATCAAATGTAAACATTGGGTAGCATGGTGGTGGCAGTATCATCATGTTGTGAGGACGTTTTTCTTGAGCAGGGACATGTAAACTAGAATAGATTGAGAACCATTAACATCCATCCAGAGAGAAGATAAACGGTTCAGATTAAAGCGAATTAGTCTTTTAAAACGGCCTAGTCAAAGCTCACAGCTTTATTCAATTAAAAATCTGGCCAGAGATGCTCTCCATCCTGTCTGAATGAGTTGTTGCCTGCCATTATGAGCAGCCAATGTGATTAAACATGTTTATGAAGGGAGCACCAGTGAAACATCTCTGTTTACAATAAAGCACTTTCTCTGAAGCACAGACCCTCCTGTGGTTTGATGTCCTTTGATCGCTGCTCTATATGCAGCTTGCAGCAGGTTTTTTCTCACTCTTCTTCACACACCCAGCACCGATGCGTTCACCGCTGCAGGTCATCTTTATGTCTTTCCAGGTAACTTTGTCATCTCATATGCAGACGCAAAGGTGTGTCTCAGGAATAATCCATTACAGATAAACTGAATAAAGAGCGGCTCATTCTTTCTGCTCAGTGCAGAGACCCCACCCTGGCTGTTCTGCTTTTTCTTTCCACGAGACTACTTCTGCTGTGAAATGGTCTGCTGCAGCACATCAGAGGATATCATCAGCATATTATTATGTTTTACAGTCCTATTATGAGTCACATGCACACATGCATGCAACAGCAAGCGAGTGTGAATGCCACAAAATGTCAAACAAGTTTTTTTATGTTGATTTTATGGAAAAATAAATAAATAAAGCAAAATATGTGATGCAAAACATGAAAACATGCAGGAACAGAAATGGCTGAAACTGTTTGTGCAAATATAAGTTAAATCAACTGCTGGAGAAAAGCAGACGATTGTCTTCTCTCACCTGTCCGTCACAGTGTGATGGACATTTAATGATTAAAGAAGTAAGACACTGATTCAATAAAGTAAGGCAAGATTGAACTGGTCTCTGTTGGTTTATTCGAAGGGAAGCAGATGTGAAGCTTGAGGAGGAAGCAGAGACTCTCCTCAGACGGAGAGATAGAGCTCTGACTTGGCAAAGCTCAGTACATACATTTATGCAGCAACTCCCAATACACACACTCTCCTTTGGAACTATCCCACCCCTACATAAAGAACTTTCTCACACACAAACATTTGGAGGAAAAAATAACTTGAGTTCATCAAGGCCATTCACTGTTAGGTTAATATATCTTTGGATCTTCTCAAAACAACAGTCCTCCCCGTCATGCCATACGGAGGCATTGTCAACTCATTCTTTTCTCTCATGACCTTCGTTTGGAACCTGTGAGGCTAAGAACAGACATATCTCAACATTTTTTACTCCAGACAGAGTTCAAGACAGTTCATTACAGTTTTAGCGAGCCAGAGAAGAAGGTTATCACTTTTTTTATAAAGTACATGGCAGAACATTGATGGGGAAAGAAAAGAACCTAGAGTAACCTCTCCTCAGAGGAACCAGTCAGGCTAAACAACTCCATATGCCCTAATGGAATGAGAGAACCGTCCTAGAGGAATCACACTCATGCATTCAAAATGCAAGGCCACTTATACAGAGAAGATGAAGCATCAAAAAGAATATATAATTATCCACAAAGTTTCCCCTTATGACACCTTTAACCAACAGACACCAAAGGGAGCATTAGAGCAAATAACCAGCGTTTGGATGGTGGGAGGAAGCTGGAGTACCCGGAGAGAACCCAATCATATACATGGAGAACATGTAAACTCTATGCAGAATGAGCTTGGATTTAAAGCACTGCCTCGCTGTTCAGCCATCAAGTCATCTCTCAAAGGTTCGACTCCTACTAGATAGGTTCATTATGCACCAAATGAGTGTTTGATTGTCTGATTACTGAAATAAACCACCTTTTCCATGATGTCTTTATATATCGAGAAGCACCTGCCTTTGATGGTGTCCTTGAGAGACTTTGGGCTTTCAAGCTCGGTTCTAAGTTCCTCTCCTGCATAGATCTCTTGGTTTTTAAACTACTGTATTCTTAATTTTATTAAATAAATTTGATGTCCTTCAGTTTAAACTCCAATATCAAGCAAACCAACAAGCATGACTAGAATAAAAGTAAATATGTCTGACAGCAGTGGTTTCAAAATCTCCAAAACTTTTTAATCCCAACAGGAAACAGCAAAACATCAGAAAAGGGAGCAATTTTTAAAGGAGTTTAAGTGTGGGAGTATTTAGGGAGATTTCTAGGAAAACAAAAAGCTACAAGGGTGCAGATGAAGAAATGATGGAGGAGCATTTTCTAACTTATTAAACTGGAAAACTTGAACTGTTCATAAAAAAGAGCCACTAGTGCTGTAAAAACTCAAAAAAACACACCAAAAGAACAACAACAAAAAAAAACAAAAAAGAAACTGCATCGGCTGAGAATGACTTTCAGAAATCTTTATCTGTAAATACAGCTCACTGTGAAAACCTCCATAAGTATGCGCATCTAAAGAAACGGGCAACAGTGGAAAACCGTGTCCCCTGTAGTGCAGAGAGACGCCCTTCCATTCTCAGCAAACAGTTCAACACCAGGCGCTTCTGATGGGAATCAGGGCTACAGATGATGACAGCTAAAAACCTGCTACAACAGCTGGAGCCCCACATCAGGAGAGCATGGGTCAAATATCCTTTAGAAAAACCTGCAGCAGACTCTTATTTCTGAATCTGTCACATTTTCTTTTGGATTTTTCTTTCTTCGCTGGCTGTTTGGCCTAAGAAGCTGCGATGCATTCTTCATTCTGGCTCTTATGGCTGCATGCAAAGAGAATAATCACCATGTGGTGAGGAGTAGATAAAGCCACAACCTTTAAAACAAAACTCTTAATAAAGTTTTCCATTTTAAACAACTTATAGATTTCTGCAGATAATCTTTGCTTCTGTTGTTTTTGGAATGCGTTCTAAAGCGGGTTGAGATAGAGACCCAACTATTTGGTTTTAGCAAACTTGATTCATTACTCAAAACACTTGATTCTCGGAGTTCCCGGGAAAACCATTAATGCAGCAGATTGATGAGCGTTCGTAACAGTTTCCAATGGGTTTCTGATGGATCAAATGCTTTCCGACGCAGGCTGCAGACTAACACCTCAGTGTTTTCCAGCTGTTTATTTTTTCGACCTCACCTAACCGTCAGTTTATCCTGCAGTTTTATAATCCCCTCCCCGCCAAAAATGACCAGTAAAACCTACGATTTCATTTAAATCCAGGGGCGGGGAGTGCAAATTATTAGTAAATTTATATATTTGTTCGAGTTGCATGAGTGGGAGACCCCTCACCCACTTCGTTGAAGTTTGGTGATTTAAAGGAAACTGCACAACCACATTTTTCACACTTAGATCACTGCTGCATCTCTGCATCACACTCTCTCTCTCGCAGCTGATATAAATAAAAGCTTTCATGACAAGTCAAACAGTAGAGCCAACTTCAGGGCAAGAGACACACGGCTGGCAGTGGGTCCTTAGAGTCGCTCCGACAGGGATCCAAAAGAACCGGCTATCGCATCGGGATCAGACTTGGAATCGAATCTACAGCTCAACAGGCACTCAGAGGAGCTCCATCAGGATGGCTGCTGTGATGAGAAGGGTGGTCTGCATCTTCATGTGGCTGTCTGTGTGTCAGGTCAGCGGAGCGTTCATCCCTAATGAGCTGAACAGAACCCTGCAGAACCTCATGCAGCACTATGTGAGTACCAACAGCGCCGCTGGAAATCAACCTGCTGGTTGATGCTCTGGGGTAGACTGAGTCTTTGGGGGTCTTCATGTCTCTCCTGTTTCCTGATGTCTCACCACAAACACTCAGACACACATGCGCAAACACGTATGCCGGCGTGGGTTTAAAGGCCATCCTGCTGTTCTGACTCACTAGCTGCTTATTTTATCTCCTTTTTTAAAGTTTCTTTCTTTAACAATCGCTTCATGTTGCACATCTGTCCTTGAATCAGCTAAATTATTTTCCCTTTAAACCTTTACAAATATAAAGAGAATCTGATATTTAAAAACCTGTTCAGGACACTATGACTATCAGGCTGCAGATCTGCTCATTACCCAGAGGTTCAGCAGCTCTGCAGCATTTGCAGACATCCTTTAAAACTTCAACAGTTTGTTATTTGGTTTGAAAAGCTGAGCAGCATGTGAACCAGAACATTACTGGAATCTTGGCTTCCCTTGTAACAGTGAATGCATCATTAAGGCCTGATTGAGTCTGTTTTGTGCTATCAATTAAACTTTAATTAACATTTACACCATTTAAATAATATTTGTGTTTTTCACCTTTTTGCAGAAAATCTCAAACCAGGATTTCTTCAACCAAAAGCCTGTGTTTCCCCGGGAACCGCTGAAAGGCAATGCTGAGGTAAATTACAAATCCTTAAGGATCGTAATGGTTCTGAGGGAATTTTACCCCCACTAGTGGTACTAAGGGTTATCTCAACAAACATAACAACAGATTTTTTCTCTTTATCAGAGGCCATGTTTACTAATATGTGTCTAAAATGGTTTTCAAAGTAAACTTATTAGATTAAAATATCATATTAATAGATAATGCTCACATTTCTCACTATCTGGTATAATTAATAATTTAATAATATTTGTATTCTCATGCTCATGTTCCACAATTAGTTGACATCAGTAACTCCTGCTTCTTAAATGTATTGTATAAAGATGAAATACATATTTGAGTATATTTCTATATAGGTTCTTCAGAAACAAAAGCTCCATAAAACTTTTTTGAGACTTTTTTGGGCTGCAAAACAAAGCATTCTTATAGGTGAAATGAATCAAGAAGTTATCCTGATACTATCTGACTTCATATCAATAGATTGAAAACATCCGGAAGGAGATATAGCCTTTTATGTAAAGAAATGATAAAAACAAATGAGCGTTTTAGTGGGTAATTCAGTCTAAATGTCGAATTTCAAAAGGTTTAAAAGTATTTTAATAAAAAAAAGCCTAAATAGAGTTTTAAGCCTTGCGTGTTTCCTACATTCCAATGACACTTCTTTGAGAACAACATTATATTCATTTATCTAAGACATCTGTCCATAATTTAAGCTGTAGTTTATATGTACAAATTTTAAATGTAGTCTAATCTACTCTATATCTAGTAACACTGAATAGTTAGAAAGCAGTGAAAAGGTTATTGGCCCTAAAACAATTTAAGAAATAAGACTAAAATCACAAAATGAACAAGTTTATTAAAAAAGTTATAGTCACAGGGAAATTATTCATTTACATAAAATAGTAAGATTTCCAAGCTTTATTAAAAACAGACCAGAGGTTTCCATCCTAGCATAATGCTAAGCTAGGCTAACTACCTGAGCTAATGTGTTTGATAGAAGCTAGATTTAAAGGAAATTAATGTAAAAGTGGGGATCCTAGATGCTTTTAGTAAATAAATATTCCAAATATAAGTGTGTCTATTTAAATCTAAGTAAATTAGGCGATGGTGGAGTCTTCACAGCAGTTTTAAGCTAGCTGTGAAGCTAGCTTGTTCAGCCGTTAGCTGGTGTTTTCCTCCAGTTTCTGTCTATCAAAACATGAACAAAAAATCTCCACTTTATCAGACAGGATCTTTCAGTGAGGTTATTGTGGTTTGTCTCCTTTTATTGTTTATTTTTTCTAAAATCCGTTTGCAACTATTTTCAGATTCTACTAAAAACTAGTACTTTCGCTCTGCCAAACAGTGACACAAATATGCTGCATAGAAAGTTTCAAGAGTCGCTTTGAAAACAGTATCAGAGTTTAGCTCTTCATGACACCCAGCTGGTGCTTTTCTTATGAAGAATTGTGTGGTTTTCATGGTGAGATGGGTATCACTTTCAGCGCTTAAATCTCCAGACGAATAAATAAACATTTTTGACACCAGATTGTCTTCATTGTGACAGATAAAACTAATTCAGTCAATTAATACTTTAAAAGAACAAAAACTTGGCTAAATAGAGCCAAATGACAGCATAGACCCAGACTGATTTAGGAGATATTTATCTTTAAACATGGAAATTATCTTTCTAGTTAAGTTTATCTTTAGAGTCATTGTAGCATATTTAGACATGTTGTCACTGCAGATTCAACATAGGGCAGTTTTTAGCATATCTTTATGACCGCCTCATTTGCACTGCCCCCATGGGTTCCCCATTCACTTTTTCCTTACAGCAAAATGTCCCGTCCCAGAGACCCCAGTGATTCATCTCAAAAGACAACCAATGCATTAAGTTTTCATCCACTACGTATACACTATACTTTTTTAAACAAACCTTTGATTTTAAACTCACGCTAACAATAGGTGTGACCCTCCCACCACCACCGGGCCCCTAAAAGGGTTTTTTTGACCAAATGAAACTCAAACGACTAGTATCCAGACGAACTTCACACCTGTCAGCAAAACTGGAATATGATATTCATGTTTAAGAGTGAGTGGCATTCCCCTTTAGGGCCCACACTGCACTTAGTTTAACTTTTGTGTGGGAAACCACAGAGTCTTTCCATTCTGCAAAAAAGGCTTTTGCACCTCCAGGCTGGTAAAGGTTTGTCAAACCAAACCAGCTTTTCTTATTTGCACTCATTGAATTTCAGTAACTTATTCAATATTAGCTTTTAATAATATGAGAATCAAATGGATTTAAAGTAAAAAAAAAAAAAAAAATCTTATTTAAAACTATTATATGAATTAACTGAGTCTATCATTGTGTTGTTTTTTTTTTGCAGTTAAAGATGGTTTACATGTATGGCGTTTTGGAGGAATATGAGAAGCTGCTTGGAAACATGCTAAAGCAGTTACCCACTCCAAGTCCCCAGTTGGCAACTTCAGGCACCCGCACCGCCTCGCTTTCCGCTTCTGATGAAATCCGCTCCAATCTGATGAAGGTTTTAAGCAAAATGCAAGAATTAAAGAGGAATAATTATAAGGAGCAGGCGGCCCTTCTGGAACAACTGAGGAAACTTGAAGACATTGAGGTATGGACTCTGTTTAGCTCCAAGATGTTTGATGTAAAATGTGCCGCTTTTAGTGTTAAAAGGATTTTTAAAGCTGTTTGAAAGCTTGGAAATAACATCATGGGGAGCTCTTTGATATCATTGGGGACTGAAATAAATCACAATTAGGGTTGAGGACAACTGTTTTTTATTTATAACTGGGCCCTTTAAAAGTTTTCTTAAAGTTATTCAAGTTTTAAAAGGTCTTTAGATTAGAAGAGTCGATACTGGAGCATGTTTAAGGCTCAGTTTGGATGAATCTGACTGATCAACATCAATATCCTGTCTTCCTTCTCCAGGTGGGCAACTTTAAGGTCCAGAGCAAAGCTCTGTCGGAGCTGACGTGGATTTACGAAGAAGCCAGCTCGCTGGCGGATGACAAGAGAAGAAGGAGACGGCGGAGGCGGCAAACGAGAACCAGGTTACACCAGCAAGCCTGAAAGACAAGGGAAAGGGCAACAACAGCAATGCAAAAAAAAAAAAAACACCAGTGAAATAAGGATGTCAAATTCAACCGCCGCCAAAAAAGAACTATTTAAACTGAAATGTGCCTTTTTTAAGATTTTATAAGAGTATTCTTTTACAAACATTTATACCAACTAATCAGTGAAATGGACTTTTGAAATATTTTAAAAAGAGGATTTTATAACTATAACTTTTACTTGAAACTGGATCTTGTGAGGATCAATATAAGAAATATTGCCTGGAAATACTTGATTTATTATTCGTGATTCACTTTAAAAACAGCAGAGGATACAATACTGAGAAGATCAGCTACATGATAAACACCAGTTTGGATCAGAGCTGGTAGTTCCAATCATCGCTCCTTAAAGTGAATGTTCTTCTTCCTGAACTCAGATTAGACAGGAGTAGAGAGGTGGGAGGGGTCTGATGGAGAGCAATCCTCCTATTGGTCTACAGACACTTCAGACCTAATTGGAAAAAAAAAAAGAGTTCAAACCAAGTTTTATTTATTTCATCCTTAGTTTTCTTTGTTTTATTGAGATTAAATTAACTCTGTGTGATAAACCTGCTTTGAATGAAGAACTGATGATGATGATGTTTAAAGTACGAAATACACCAAAGTTTATCATCATGTAGATTACTTTTTTAATTCTCTAACCTTCAAGCGCTTGAGGTACGACTGTAATTGCAGTGGAGGAACTGCAGTAGTCTGGGATTTCATCATTTTGCTGACATGTTTTATTTTATTTTGGTATTTATTCTGTAATTGTTTAACTTAATATTAAATCCTGCTGTTATGATTGCTGATTATTTATTATTATTTATTGATTGCCACTTTCTGACAGATTAGTATTGAATAAACAGAATGCACCTCACTTTGACGTGTTGTCTTCATTTCTTGGGGTTTTATACTTCTGATTGAATCTGAGATGCTGCTTTTGTGGAGATTATTATTGATCTTAACCGCAAATGGTCGAAATATGGCCCCTAGCTCCTGTTCTGTCACCTTTCACGGGGTAAACAGTAAGTAAATCTAGTGGAAAGGTAGGAAAGAGACGCCAAGATTATGGGATTCCTTATAGTTCTGTATTAAGGGACACTGGAAGCTCCCGTTCCTAAAAGAACTATGATAGGAAGCAAACAGGCTCATTTTCCTGCCTTCTGCCAGCAGTATTCAGTCTTCACCCATCCCAGTGAACGCACCTCATCTTCAGCTAAAGTTTCCTTCTTAGTTAAACAACTCAGAGAGAGAGTCATTCATTAGGACTCCTGGTTCTGATCATTTCAGGGTTGGGAAGTCCTCAAAAATCACTGAAGTATTAATAGTTTTCTTCTTTATGTTCCATAGTTCCTGGACATGTCTGATAGTCCTATACAACAGCAATATATTAAGAAATTTAAAGCCATTTCTAAGATTACTGATGTCAAAACCTGACTGGAGAACAAAACAACAAGGTATACCCTTTCCAGGATTGGGTTGCCTACCAAAGTTCTTTGAATAGCTCATTAACAGTATATGACTATGTTGACGGTAACAGCAGAAAGTGTGGTACTGAGGACCTGTGGACCACAGGCTGGTAGTTGGTGTGCCCCGCCCGACTCAGATGATGAAGCATTTCTGTGGTCTGATGTTATCTTTGTCTTGCATCATGGCGGGGGATTTCTGCCCCGCCTTCGCTCCAATGCTGCTTCGGCTCATTGAGGACACTTGTTTCTGATATTTCCACTGATGAGTTCTTGCTTGGACCTGCACCTTCACTGGGCTGTTGCTCAGACATTCTTCATTTCTAGGAAAGATGGCCATACCTTTGACTCTAAAATAATTTACGATGCTGAGGAGTTTACGTATTTATTAATTGATCATAGAAAGGGTGAGTCTGCAAAATAGGCCCAAAACATCATCCCTCCATCACCATGCTTGTAGTGTGTAATAATTACAGGGATTTACTGACTTAAATGGTATGCATAATATATATATATATTATGCATTATGTATATATATACATGTATAAACATATATATATATATATATATATATATATATATATATATATATATGTGTGTGTGTGTGTGTATATATATGTGTGTGTGTTATTTATTATCACCTATGAACTAAAAGTCTTATTCTTTACGTTTTCCTTACTTTAGAAATTTCTATTAAATTAAATAGGAGCAAGTTTACATTTGTAAAGGCAGACATCTTTGCACTACTGCAGAGCAGAGCTGACAAACTAGTGACTGTAGCGATCACCATTATGCTCAAATTGGAAATTGGCCTACACAGACTAATAAAATACTATTTACACAACTATATATGTAAACTAGAGGTACACTGGACATGACCAGCAACCGCCCGGTTATTATGAAAACCAACCCTAACCCTGAAATAGTGGGACGTTTCACCTGGACAACAGAAGTACAACAGACGACGCACCTGAGCTCGGGCAGGAGCAGCGGGGACTCAGAATATCAGGAGAGAGAGGTCCAGAACAGGGACAAACCAGCCACTGCTGGCTCAAGAAGAGAGCTGAGAATAATGGGCCTTTCAGATAGGAAGCAATTTGCGCTGCGCTGGCCGCGGGGTTCAGCGCATTTGCGCTGCGCTGCGCCAGCTGGGTTTCCGGGTCTAGTCATTTGTTTGTTGTTCCAGCTTTTGGTCAGCAGCAAATATGTATCTGACCCGTGCTAAGAAGCAAGTGCTAGCACTAGCCCTGCTAGTTCGAAGAAAAAGAGCAGCAAGGAAGAAGAGGCTGTGGGTGCACGAAACCCTCAGGTCCAGAGAGCAGCTTGGGGAGTTCCGGCTTGTGAAAGAGCTCCGTTTTCACAGCGACCAGTTTGAGAGTTTGCTGGGGAGAGTCGGACCAAGGATCTCAAGGATCCATACAAATTACTGGGAGCCAATTTTGCTCCATTTTGCTTCCTGGTCTTTCCAGCCGATGGCCCGGTTTCTATTGGCCACGCGTGCATTCGTCATGGCGCGCCGCGGCCTGGCCTGCGCGCGAGCTCGCGAAGCGGTGTGCTGCGCTGTGCTTGCGCTTTGCTCGACGCAGCGATAAACCGCCCTGGCGCGGCGCAAGAATGGGTTTCACAGCGCAGCAGTGCGGTCGTCGCAGCCTGTTTGAAAGGCCCATAACAGCGGCAGCTTGGAGAGGCCTGCTGGGATACATCACTGATGGCCCTGAAAAGACTACAGCTAACCATGCAGGATCAAGGGAGAACAGAGGAAGATCGGATTTGTTTGCCGTACCGAGAGAGGTCCGAAAGGCAGGGTAGAGTGACTGTGTCTTACCATGAGGAGGACGGCATGACATCGAGGGAGTGGCCATGAAGATACAGCAGGAAGAGATGACGGGAGACCAAGGCTATGTTTGAGTTGGACAGAGGACCGCTGAGGATTACAGAAGCCTTCAGGTGGAGTGAGTGGCAGAGCATGATGAGAGAAGGAGCAGCTGGTTGGTGTCTGCACTGGTGGTAGGACACGAAACAGTGGCTGTGTCTAAATGTCTGCCCTAATCACTAAATAGGGCACTACTATAGTGGTTACACCATTTTTAATGAGTGTCCGAAAGTGTAGTGGATGAAAAATTCGTTGACTCAAAATTTCCCACAATGAAAAGTAGTGATCAGCTACCCACTGTAGGGCAGTAACAGTGGCGAAAAATAAAGATGGCGTATGCACCGTTCAAGGCAGCAGAGTAACGTGACCAATGTGGAAAATACTGATCATCTGCCCGAACATTCAGTTAACTGAGTTCACCCTGAAGTCCACTATGCACTTATGCAAAAGCCCCTCACAAACCTCTTCCCCGCTTTATCCTTTGTCAACAATATTTTCTGTTTTCCATTTTGATTTAAAAAAGCTTTTCTCCGCGGCATAATTCAATAAAGCAGCGGTCAATTCATGATACTTTATCATCTCCTAATTTGTATAATTGTCAATTTACCAGACACAACAGAATTAAAGAATTTATGGATTTGACGCTGCAAACTAATGAAAATATACCTCGTCTAGAAGTCATGTTGTACCATGATGGTCTCCGTATTGTTGGAGGCCAGAGACAGTGTGGTGGGGGCGGCTCATGTTGCTGCAGTCTGCAGTCTGACCAGTAGATGTCGCTGAAAATGACACATTGTTACATTAAGATTCATTCTGATGCGACAAAACACTTTAAAATAAGTATAAAACAAAAAAGTGCCTTCCAAAGCCATACTTGTTCAGTCTACTCTGACGGATTAATGAAGTCCTAAAAAACCTGCAGCTGAGCAGCACTGGTGACTCTTTCCCATCACGTTATCTCTATTTTAGTTTGTACAAAACATTAGTGTGGAACTATTGTTATTCTAACCGCTGATAAACCTAAAGTTAATACTCTGATCTCAAAACCAAACACTGAAAGAAATGCACTCTCTTTTTCAAATAACTGTATAGTTTAATTTTAACGTTTTTAATCTGCAGATTTTTTTTCATATTCTGTCATAAAAACATGCAAAAGATGCATAAATGATGGAACTGATGTTCTTTTCTTTTTCAACGAAGAAAGATTTCTCTGAGCAACCAAACTCAAACTGCGACTGTGAGCTTCAGGCAGTCAAAGCTTCTGCTGCAGCTTCAACAGGCTGGATGGACCCCAGCCCTCCAACCCACAGCAGCGATGTCACTTCCTGTTACATCACTTCTCATAAACGCGTAGCCGTTTCTTACAGTAATTGCTGCTTTACCCACAATGCACTGCAGGCGCTATGTGTGTTTGTGTGTGAAGCTGTGACTTCTAAGAACCCGAGCTGTGCTTTCCCACCGCAGCTCAGTCTGTTTGTGTGGTCAATGAAAAACCTCAGCGGCATCTCTTAGCAGAGGAGCCTGAATTTCAAACAGAAACTGAATTTGGCACAAAGCAAGAAGAAGAATGATGGAGCTCCTCAAGGCTCTGTCTTCCAGCCTCTGTAATTCCCCCATCCGCTTCTTTTTTGTTTCCTTAAATAGCTGTTTGCATCGCTTATTTCTAAAAAGGGTTGATGTATT